TCACATACCTTTGCAAGTTGGTATCGAATGGGAAAGCAGAGAAGTGTCAGTACATGCTGCACTCTCAGCTCCGACCAGTACGTATCCAGCATTGCAGGAATATCTGACACTCTCATTGTAGTTAATGGCTGGTTGTTTTGGAGACATGTTACCATTCACCGGAACTCGAATGCTGCACGTTTTCACTGGCAATAGAAACGAGAGAATTGGCACAAGAAGCAACAGCATTGTACTCAAACGGTTTCAAATTTATTCTAGCCATTCATTATTCTCGACCTTCACTGATGAGACCTTAGTGGTGGAAACAACGCTGTATGGAGGAAATTCTATTTGTCGGTATCTACAACTTGGAGTTATGTTGCTGGTGTGAGGTTGGCCAGAGAGCTCATGTGGTGGAAGTGGAATTGCAGCATTAATTTAGCAACAGCACAGTAATACTGTATTAGCTTCAATTCTTTCACGTAGGATTTTATATACACAGGTACAACTGTAGTGGTTAGGATCAGCTTGGGGGCCGTTAGGCCTCCGCGGAATATGCCGGCATAATTTCGGGAATTATCGGTGTGATTTTTAAAACGGGAATTATTGGCAATTTTTGTGGAATAATCGGTAAAATTTGAGCAATGCCCCCCTTTTTTCAATTTTTTTCCATTTATAACACCCTGATTTGTACCAAAAAGCTCATGATCCTGAAGTTGATCGCCCGGTATTTCAAAAAAGAAAGAAAAAAAAAGCTTCCAGCCGAGTTTCACGCGAACCGTGATTTTTTTGCCCGTACAAGTGGCAAAAAAACCCGTACGCGGTACATTATCTGCAAAAAAAGGGAAGAAAAAAAGAATTATTGTGAGAATTGTTGGTGGAATTACGGGAATAATCGGTCGAAATTTTGAGCAATGCTCAAAAGAATTATCGGTAAAAATACGAGCATATTCCGCGGAGGCCCAGGGGCCGTCCCCAATGGCTCCGGCTTTACCCTTTGGAGTCCGTAACTTTTTTGCTTCCGCAGAATTTGTGGCAGTTACGAAAATGCGCACTCCATTTCCAACATAACTTTGGTCCTACTTCACCGATTTTGAAGATCTTGGGCTCGTTGGAAAGCTCTTGATGAGAGAAATACAATGAGCTCAAACTCGCCAAGAGCACTATCTACTGTCCGCCACAACGCGCCCCAAACGCGAGTCCAGCTCCAGATCTGAGACGAAATCGGTCTCCTGTAGCCATTTCACTGAATCCAGCTCGGAACTGTTCAAATTCTTTCGAGTAGAAGCTTACCTTGCCGTGACTTCGCGCCGCGCCGGTCCTGGCACGTGCCGCCTGTCATGAAGCTGGGAAAATCCCTTTTTTTCACGCACTGCTGACTCGCAGCATGCTGCGCAGAAAATTCGAAATGTTTGATCGCTCGCCGCTTACTCAACCTTCATCGGAGAGACTTCGGACCTGTTTGAGGCGATGGCTGAGAGTTTTCTCTATCATCTAGACCCTTCTATTGTTGAATTTGGTCAAGATTTGGCCGAGAAGCGAAAGTTTGACTGCGCCCACATACATACAAAATGACCATGGTTCGAAATCGAACCATGGACTCCAAAGGGTTAAATTTCCTTATTTCAGCGGTATTGCAATGGCATGCACAGACTCGATCTAACATCAATCTCGTGAAAGTGCTCCAGGACTGCATATGTTATGGGAGTATGTTGACGAAACGCATGACTACTGATTGATGGCTTCTCACAGATACTGTGCACACATAATGTGCACACATTTAATGATCACACAGCAATGGCTCAACCAAGTTCTTTTCCGCCGTTACTCAGAGTTTCACGCGAAACACTGATCAGACAGTCTGACGAGTATTTCACACGAAACTCTGAGTAACGGCGGAAAAGAACTTGGTTGAGCCATTGCTGTGTGATCATTGTATTACTGGCTCTGTCCACTGCACATAGAGCACTGTACACAGCCTGAGGACCTTAGACAACTGTCTATGTGCATACATATGTGCATACTGTGCACAGATATGTGCATACTGTGCACACATATGTGCATACTGTGCACACATAAGCACATATGTGCATACTGTGCACAGATATGTGCATACTGTGCACAGATATGTGCATACTGTGCACACATATGTGCATACTGTGCACACATATGTGCATACTGTGCACAGATATGTGCATACTGTGCACAGATATGTGCATACTGTGCTCACATATGTGCATACTGTGCACACATATGTGCATACTGTGCGCACATATGTGCATACGCATGCGTGTGTGTACAGAATACTTCGACGCACATGTTAAATGATGCATCCTCCATCGTAAGACTTGTTGGCAGCTTATTCAAAACGATTCATTGTGCCTTGGACGGGTCAATACCGCTCAAACTTCCCCGCATGGCTAAGGCATCGCTTGCAACACTGATCAGCAGTGTCTCTGTCACAGGTGCTGTTGGTGGCAACAAAATTAATGAGTAGGACGGAAACGATTGTAGATTTCACCTATCGATTACTCTTCAGTTTAACGGTCGATTACCCGACTATAATTGTTAACAAGCAGTGTCAGGTTTTTGTGCGTGAAACGTTTGATGCACAGGTGCTGTAGGGGAGAGGAGGAGAGGGGGGGGGGGAGGAGGAGTTCAGGTACAGCTGTACTGCCTCCTTGCACCGTATCCGGCACTCATAAGAATGTGAACGTCCAGTGGAACATGCCACACCAGAACTGCACCAGAACTGTTGTTTTAATCCGTGGGTCAAATCAGAAAGGATGAAAGCATGCGGGAGTTGGTTCGAATCCTGGTGTTGACAGCCAATCAATTTTTCTTCAGACTTTTCCCGTGTGTCTTTCCCTAAACCAGTGAACATGATGGAGTGTGACTGTCATTGATGAGTGTGTGCCCACTCCCTCGGCCCAACATACTCTTCATCTGAACCCCTCAGGAGAAGGCTGTACGGCCCAGAGGGGTGAAGACAAGCGACCCTCTACAGGGAGCAGGGAGCCCTTGATCAAGTATTTTAGCGGACTTTGACATCTGTTGAGAAGTCAAGTGGCCGCAACATGCTGGCCTTGCAGCCGTGAGCACTGCTGGTCCATTATTATAGCGTGTACGTGAACTACTGTGTATGTATGCACTAAAAGCAGTGAGGGAGCCAGCCCCAGTCACACCATCGAATTTCAATCAGTCCACGCCAGTATGATGAGGCACGGCTGGGTATGTTGCCTGTGCTGGCCCTGGTGGTGTGTGCAGGCCATGGTGGTGTGTGCTGGCCATGGTGGTGTGTGCAGGCCATGGTGGTGTGTGCAGGCCATGGTGGTGTGTGCAGGCTTCTGTATACAATAAGAGGCACATGTACATGTACGCATTGAAGATGGCCGTCACCAGGAGTCCATAACCCCAAGAGTGTGCAACTCTGTACATGGGGGATCCGCGCGGCGGAATTCCAACATTACGTCAAAAATGACGTACACATTCGTTGCGCTTGTACTGTGTATGTATGCACTAAAAGCAGTGAGGGAGCCAGCCCCAGTCACACCATCGAATTTCAATCAGTCCACGCCAGTATGATGAGGCACGGCTGGGTATGTTGCCTGTGCTGGCCCTGGTGGTGTGTGCAGGCCATGGTGGTGTGTGCTGGCCATGGTGGTGTGTGCAGGCCATGGTGGTGTGTGCAGGCCATGGTGGTGTGTGCAGGCTTCTGTATACAATAAGAGGCACATGTACATGTACGCATTGAAGATGGCCGTCACCAGGAGTCCATAACCCCAAGAGTGTGCAACTCTGTACATGGGGGATCCGCGCGGCGGAATTCCAACATTACGTCAAAAATGACGTACACATTCGTTGCGCTTGTACTACTCCCTGGTTCCAAGCACCGCAGAATGCGGAGTTCGTCCTCTGCGCCTTAGCAGTATGACGTAATGTTGGAATTCCGCCGCGCAGTGGGCCTACAGCAGCCAGAACCTAGTTGCACACTCTTGGGGTTATGCACTCTTCCCGTAACCTTGTTGCAGGGACACGTCGCCCCATATTTGGCAGGTACAACCCATTCTAGTACATTAAAATATATGAGTATGACCTTATACGGGTCACGACCTTTTATGCAGAGCTGGTATCAAGGTGTGTACAGTGGTAATGGACTTGCCCCCGCAAAACTCAATGGCGAGAAATGGATGCACCCGTCCCCCATTCTACGCGACCGACTCACCAACGCATGAAAAGTTGGACACGACTCCAACACATCTCTGTCCGTCCGAGCAAGCAGTCGGTTGTTCTTGGAGAATGTTCACACAGCTACTCGAGCAATATGATGCATTCAGTTCTAATGCACAGAAACACACACAAACATAGCGGAGACCAGAGGAAAACAAACTCAGAGTTTTCTCGCAGGGGTAGCCAGTCACAGGTTCTGATATGTTCACCATAGCACAGCGGCCATTACATAGTCAACAGAGGTGAATCAGCCGGCTAAAGGAACCACTCTTTTCGCAATCTAGCTCAAATGCCAGCACTCCCCCCCCCCCCCCCTCTCATTCCAGTGGATAACGGCTCTGTAGCTAACACTCTCTCCCGGGGAACACTGTTCCGTCGAAACTGCACCACATCAATCGGTGCATAGAGTTCGTAGACAAGTTAGACACATATTTTAGTGACAGTTATTCTTTCCCATTGGTTACGTACCCTTGGTCAAGCTAAGCAAACAAACTGGCCAAAATCGTGGAGACCAACTAGGCCACCCATGCTGTTATCCTCTCTAAATAACTGGATAACAGAGCCGATTGGAGTGTCAGAGCTTGACTTCAAGTTTAAAAAAAAACGCCAGTACTTAGTTGTCATTCGTGGTTCACTTTCATATCGGTCGATTCTATGTGCTCCAAACTGAGCCACTATCTTTCAAAACGTGTGTTCCACTACATGCAACCAAAAGCACATAATCCCCAAGAGTTTTGCAACTGCCTGCACAACCTCTATGCAGTGCTGCGATGGCAGAACTTCACATCACGTGACATGGTTCAAAAGGTCACACTGGCAAACAGTGCAAAGTGACCACAAGAGAGTCGTACCCAAAGCTGGGTTGCGTACAACCCTGTATCAATCATGCTGTCACAGAGTGCAAATAATGCGTACGGGTTCATCACGTGATGTGAAGTTCTGCCGTCACAGACCCCATAGCTGGAGTTGCACACTCTTGGAGGTTATTTACTCTTGACACAACTGACAAGTGTGGTGTCAGTGTAACAATGAGTACGATGGCGCACAGGTTTCTCACCATCCGATGGGAAGTGAACTAACATGAAACTGAAATAGGACTGGTGTAAAAAATGGACAACACCATAACACACACATAACTCACTTGTGATATAGTCAGTGACGTTCTTGCTAGCATTGACTAACTGTGTGAAATCTACAGGCTCTACCAGCATACACAGCCTAGTGTCCAAACTCAACGGATTGTCCATTAGCTCTCTGAGCAGGGAACACAACAGTGGAGAAATGTAAGAAAGTGATCGGCAATAGGGATTTCCTGGTACCGACTATGCAACAATCACATCAAGTCAAAATACTGAGGGACGACTCTCGCAGCGCTTATTTGAGTGCAGGCAACTTGTCTATGGACGAATTAAATCATGTCAATCTTCTCTTATCGGCCACATGCCATCGTGAGATTAAAATATTTCAAAATTTCACCGGTAGCTCCTGCCTGTCTTTGTGCGCATTGTGAACTTACGATATAGACAGGTTGAGACTATTGGCAAAGAGACCGGGAGGGAGATACTCTAGCTGATTTCCAGACAAATACCTGCACACAAACCAGATCAGCACACAAACAAAATGTCAAAACCGAAACGAAAGATCTGGAGCACCAAAAGAGAAAATGGATTCTGTTGGTGGTGATGCAAATTATTTATTATTGCTCCCAATAATAGTTACAGTTCGCATGTCACTCATGGAAGGATCCATGGGATTAACGCATCTGTCAATGAAATCCAGGCAGAAGAGCCAACCAAAGGCATCTCAATATTGTTAGAACATATCGCAGTAAGAACAACTATGCAAGCGAAGCACATTTTCTACAAGCATCAGCCATTTTTCTTGTCTAGAGCCAGTTCAAAACAGACAGAAATATCAATATTGGCGTGCTTTATATCAAACAAACAAACGAACAACAAAAATAATAATAACGATTGGACGCCCTGTACAAGTGCATTAGAATATGTTTTCAGGACTCCGGCAGGTGCTCTGGAAAGGATCCAGCAAAAATAGAACGAGAATTAAAAAAGAAAAAGCTCTAGCTACTTACAGCTCTGTTAAGTCTGGGTTGTTAGCAAACAAACCAGAAGGTAAACTTTCTAACATGTTAGACTCCAAATACCTGTAGCAGCAACAGACAGCATACATCATACAGTCAAACATCATACTGCATAGTGCATACAGCACATGGCATAGTGCATACAGCACATGGCATAGTGCATACAGCACACGGCCTACTGCATACAGCACATGGCATAGTGTATTCTCCAGAGTATAAGCCACACTGGAGTATAAGCCACACTGGAGTATAAGCCACACTGGAGTATAAGCAGCACTGGAGTATAAGCCACACTGGAGTATAAGCCACACTGGAGTATAAGCCGCACTGGAGTATAAGCTGCAACCCGATTTGTTGTGATGAAATACGGTCGTGGACATGGAAATCCGGTCGCACGTCTAGCGGCCCCAGGGCGCTGGCCGTGCAGCCGTGAGCAAGCAGTAAGAGCAGACAGTACGCGCTCCAGCGCACTGGTCGCATAGGATCAACATGACTTTTTGCACTGCCTGCAACGTTCTGTACGCGCTGGGGACGCCGGGCCCGGTCAATCGAGTGGATTTCCATGTCCACGACAGTACATGTACAAACGTTACTTTGACCATCGTGCTACAAAACTACAAACTACAAACCTTTGTGGATGAGATACTAGTGTTTAAAGTGCAACATATACTCCGGAACAATACGGTGTCTCATACGCCATACCGCACACAACAACGATCATGCATTATACCAAGAGTACATACCCCCCCCCCCCAGAGTGTGCAACGCCTGATCCAGCTCTGCATAGGGTCTTGGTCGAGCGTAGTCGGATCTTCTGATGTCATGCGTACACTTCACACCAGCGCAAGGCCAGTCTCGAGGCAGGGCACCGTTGTTTTTGATCCGAGAGTACCCGCGACTCCCCGGGTTCCTCTCAGATGTGTACGGTATTATGACGCAAAGATTCGATTACGCTCGACCAAGACCCTATGCAGAGCTGGATCAGGCGTTGCACACTCCACGGCTGTTCACGTGCAGGCACATATCAATATGGCGTCGTTCGGTGCGATTTATGTAACATTGTGCGAATAGTACAAATACGCGATGAGTTTGCGTTTTTGCAAGAAACTCATGTCGATCCTCGCGTGGTTCCACGATTTGGGACGCGAAACCAAGAGAAAAGTTTTGAAAGCGCTCGAGCGAGATACTCGACT